TTACAAGACCCTTGCACTCCTAACTCTTTAGAAAAAAAAAACCCAGGGGTGTTCAAACTTGACGGCTTTAAGACTTGTGGATTTCAACTCCCAGAATTCCTCCTCTTGCTCTTCGTCTTGATGATGCGCGGACGGGCGGGGGGAGGGAGCTGGAACCGGTTCTAAACGGCACTGTAGATTTGTGGAACCTCTTCTATAGAAGAGGTTAGAACTGGAAGGAACATACCCCTGGAACAAACTCAGTCTTGAGTATACTGATGAGAAACAACTATTGACAACTATGTACAAGAGTGTCTATGGAGATTCTCAGTCATCCAGGACATGATTGTCACAAAAGTTGCATTTTCAAAAGGCAAATGGAGTATCTTTTTTTCCTTGAGGAAGAGGACGTTTTGCTTCTCATTCAAGAAGCTTCATCAGTTCTGACTGGATAGTGAGTGAGTGAGTGGGTGAGAGTGTGAGTGAGTGTAAGGATTAATTCTTATTAAACTTCTTGTTTAATAATTCTTTTCTCTGAAAAGCAAAACATCTTCCTCAAGGAAAAAAGCACCTTTGAGACACGTATGAGAGTCCTAAGAAATACTTCTTGGAATTTCCAAAGAATCTCGCTGACCACTCTGTAAAATAGAATATTCATCAGAATGGATTAATTTCTTGGTCAAGCACAAGTTTTTGTATGTTCTCACGAAAATGATACCCCAGCTGGAAAATCTTGACACTCTCTAAAAAAATATTCATTGATTGAAATATCTGAAAAAAGACCTTGCACTCTACCTTTTAAAGACAGATCAATTGTCACATTATTACTCGTCACAATAGTAACACCTTTGAGTATATCTTTCCTGATATTTAATATTTTTATGCCAGGAGGAAAAAAAAAGATTGCAATTCTCAAAGTTGCCAAAGTTGAGAATCACTGCACTGGAGTGAGAAAAAAAAATTGGCTGAGCTCACCAAAGCTGGAAAACAGTCCCACCATAAATGGGTCTCAATCTTTTCAGACAGGGCCAGTGATGGACATGCCAGTCCCTGCCAGCTTCAATGACATAACTCAAGATCCAAAGTTGCGGAGATTTATTGGCTGGGTGTGGTACGAGAAGGAGGTGCTTCCACCAGCTCGCTGGCTCCTGAGAGATACTGGGACTCGTATTGTGCTCCGAATTGGCAGCGCACACTATTACTCTATTGTGGTGAGTATTGAGGACATCTTCTTCTTGTTACCAATTTGGTGGTCAAAATTCTGTGATATGCCACCACTAGGGATCAAGGTAGGAAAAGAACTAAAAAACAAACCAATTTCTGATGAAAGAGCCTGGTGAAATGAGGCCCGTCCCAAAGAATCAATGACTAACTTTGTTAAGTTTCAAAGAAAGATAAAAGATAAAGTAACAAAACCAAAAAAGGGGATAATTATTTTTTTAAAAGGTGGGATACAAATAAAGAAAAGAAATGACGGGAAAATGACTTCCAACTTTTTTCAGCACAGATAGAAATATGTAATAAAATAACAAAAAGAAGTGATTGAACAACTGAGCAATAATAGCAAAGCCGTATTTTACATCTTCATCTCTTCTATCTTACCAGCTATGGAGATTTTCCTAATACTGTACTATATTGCTTGACAATATCTAAATTGCCTGGGAGGTGAGTCTCTACCACCACCTAGGGGCTACAAAAGAAAATTACTTTTTGTTCTTTTTCTTGGTCCAGTTTGCTGGAGGAGCACAGTATCTGTACAGGATAGGAATATTACAAATCCAGCTAAAATATCCTTCATGCATGGCAGGAAATAAAACTTCAAAGCAAGCCCAAAGTTCCATTTTCTTGTTTCACATGCAGCATTAGCAATAGCAGTTAGACTTATATACCGCTTCATAGGGCTTTCAGCCCTCTCTAAGCGGTTTACAGAGACAGCATATCGCCCCCACAGTCTGGGTCCTCATTTTACCCACCTCAGAAGGATGGAAGGCTGAGTCAACCCTAAGACGGTGCAGATAACAGTCAGCTGAAGTGGCTGCAGTACAGCACTCTAACCACTGCGCCACCTCGGCTCTTATTAAATTGCAAGGAAACCAAGCAAGCTGAGGTTATGCAGTATGCTAAAGCATAGAACTCATGGCTAAATGCTGAGTCTCCTGTGCAAACCTGGTTAAGCCTGTTGTGTGAATATAACCACTTAATTAACCGTTCTGAAGCCCTTAGAAGTTCTGCTCTTCTAGACTGATTTAGTAATGCTCTTATGTTCTTCATGTCAACTTCTTTTAAATACCTGTTGGGTTGCAATGTTTTCTGGCAGTGAACTGGGGTAGTGCATCTGTCGGTCTGAGAACATTTAACAAAGAGTATTTTGCACAGTTATCTACCCATTTGCACACTGAATGGATAAAACAACTGGATACACTCCAGATGTGTTAGGCAACAACTTCCATTAGCCTTGGTAATAAGGCTGATAGTTATCCAGAAAAACATCTGGAGAGGACCTAGTTGTCTATCCTGGGTGCAGAGAATACATTGCTGCTGGAAAACAGAGCCAGTCTTAATAGAGAAGCCCAGGCATTTGCATCACCTGCTGAGCAACATGGAATGGTGACACGAACAAAGCCTGAAATGGTTAAAATCCTGTAACATTGTCAAATCTCGCGAAATGTTAGCAGGCTTGATATCTCATATTTCCTCTGAAAACTTTGAAAGGTCCATATGGGAAGTGTTAAATCTGTTTAAGATTTTGGGAAACCTATGACATATGGGTCTCATTAAAAATACGTTTGGCCTCCGAAGATTATTTACAGCAGGGGTGTCAAACTCGGATTTCATTGAAGGTTGTGTTTGACCTCAAGGGAGGGGAGGCATGGCCAGGGGGTGTGGCCATCTTGACATCACTCGTGTCAGGGAACGCCTATGGTGGCCCGAACGGTCTGCCTGCAAAAATGGGCTCCCAATCTCCGTTTTCGGCTGCAACGACCTCCTGCAACCATCTGCTAGCAAAAATGGAGCTCAGGAGGGTTGCGTGCAGCCCTCCCAAGCTCCTTTTCATTGGCCGAGGCACCATGGGCTGGTCCTTCACTGTTTCCAGGGCGGCCCGGTGGGCCAGATCTAAGCACCTGCTGGGCCTTTCGGTTTCTTCTTTTTAGTCCTTCCCAGAGCTCTATTTTCTCTCTCTTTTGCAGTGGGTGAACGGAGTGGAAGTCACTGAGCACGAAGGAGGACACCTTCCTTTTGAAGTGGAGATCAGTGAGATCTTGCATAGAAGCCCCAAAGAGCCCTGCCGCATCACCATTGCAATCAATAACACTCTGACACCGCACACATTGCCTCCAGGAACAATTCAGTATATGGATGATGAGTCCAGGTAAGTTCAACAGCTCCCTGCGATTCACTGTGGTGTTTCTCAGCTTGAGCAATTTTAAGATGTATGGACTTTAACTCCCAGAATTGCCCAGCTAGCATGTCTGGCTGAGGAATTCTGGGAATTGATGTCCCTGTGACTTAAAATTGCCAAGCTAATACCTTGTTTTGGTGGAAGTTCACACATCTGGGAAGTGAATGCCACACCACTTAAAGTTGCCAAGACTGACACCTTATCCTGGTTGCAGTCCTTAAGTGAATCACCGCAGGTCATTAGGTCAGGACCTCGTGTGTTCACCACTTGCGACTTCCCATGGACTTTGCTTGTTGGAAGGAAGCAAAATAGATGGTCAAAGGTGACTGCATGACAGTGGGGCCCTGTGATGTGGAAATCAAGCCACCTGGATCTCAATCACATGACCTTGGGGATGCTACCACAGCTAGAACTCTGAGGTCTGGTTGTAAGTACCACTCATTTAGTGCCGTTGCAAGTTATAGTGGTTGCTGAATGAGTAGTCATTAAGCAAGGATAGATACGTGCTGCAAAAAAGGTGACTGGCACCACTATAAAACTTCATTTAATTGAAAGCAAATTTGATGGCGTCCCAGCTGGGTTTCCACACCATGCTAAATCCAAGGAAATAAAATCTACAATGCTGAAGCAAAGGCTGTGATTATGGTGTGATCGTTTAGTTCTTACAAAATGCTAATAGTTGGATTCCCAAATACTTCAAATCCCCAATTAACTTATCCCATTTTTGCTTGATCCTTAGATTCAAATGTGGTCTGTTGTTTCCAACTGGAAAAAATACTTTGCAAACAACTTTGGAAGGAAAGGGTTGCAGATAATCCCTGAGCCAAAAGTTGTGCTGTTCTGACTTGAAAGGCAGATAATTACAAGTTGATTCTACCAAGAGTTCCAAGTTCATAGGATTGTTTTTAGGTGGGGGAAATAGGGGGCTTGCCACAGTATATTTTCCCCATGGAATAGCTTGATGGTTGTGGGAACAGGCAAGGAAGTTTCAGGAAAAAAATCAAGATAGCAGCCCAACCAAATGACTCAAACCATCTGTCAGGCCTGCAGTCATATTCTTTTTAGGATCTTTGGCCTGCCACACACGCACTCTCTCTTTCTTTACTATGCTGTTTCATTAGTGGGGAATTGGGAGGGGGGATAGTAAGGAGTAGAATGTTGTGGTCAAAATAAATCATTCCTTTCTAGAAGCCCAAGGTCATCCTTTGTCTTTGCACCTCTGCACCTGACCGGAAGTGGATGGTTGGAATTGCCAGCGTGACAGTGGAAGATTGGACCCTGTGATGAACTTCTGGGGTGTGGGGGCAAGGTCTTGAACTTTCAACTGGGTGGAAAACCCAGGAAGCTTTCAGATTCAGGTTTTCCACAGATGTGCCAACATGTCTCTCTTATTAAATTGGAACTTTGAAGAAAGCTCTGCCTTGGACTCTGATTTAATTCTGGGATGATATTTGGAACGCTGACACTGTGCCTCTTTTAAGCCTGGTGCATGACACAAGGGCCAAAAAAGAGTGGGCCTTGATCATGTGGCTGGGGCTGCTATCTTGAAGCTTTTGACTGCTCCTCACTGTAGATGCCTCCATATAGGAAAGACCTCTGAATGGATTCTCAGGCATTTTCTCTGGCAATTCTTCATCCCTAAAGCACCTTTCCATCTCTTACTCAACCTCCCGTTATCTCCCTTTCTCTCTCCCTCAACCAGGTATCCAAAGGGCTACTTTGTTCAAAACACAAGATTTGATTTCTTCAATTACGCTGGAATTCACCGCCCGGTCTTGCTCTACACCACACCTTTGGCCTACATTGATGATATCACAGTAACCACGGCCTTGAAGGGAAATGTTGGTAAGGAGCTGAGGGAGCAAAGCAGGACTCCCCCTTGAGGGAGATCTCCACTTTAGGGAGCTACATCCATTCCCCACTTTTTCTTTCAAATGCAAGCTTTTATCTCTCCTTCTGTGACACAGGCCTGGTTCATTATTTGGTGTCTGTACGAGGAAGCTCAGACTACTTTTTATCCCTGACTTTGTATGACAGTGACCACGTTGCCGTAGCAACAGGAAACGGGTCAGCTGGTGAACTGAAAGTGATGAATCCTCTTCTGTGGTGGCCCTACTTGATGAACAAACGTCCTGGATACCTCTACTCCTTGAAGGTATCTTGCATGTCTCTCCTCAAGATTCTCAAATCTGCCTGCTTTCTGGGCAAGATTTGAACTCCAGCTCCTGTAAATAAATAAAATAAAAGAATCCAAATAGATTGGCTGACAGAGTTATGGTTCACTACACAGATTCCAGAAAAGGCTTATGACAAGGATGTCTGTAAACTGTATCAAAACATTAAGATGGCAACTATGCAATCAAAGCTCCATGCACTTTTCATGTGCAACACAATAGAAAAACAGATAGAGCTTTGATCACATCATTGTGGCCACCATTTTGATTTTTTGACCATATGCTGCAGATACCTCTGTGTCAGTCGTGGGCTGCAGGCGGTACGCCCCGGTACGGTCATACCGGATCCTGTCCGGAGCACCGGGTACCGTTCCAGTACGGTGCTCCGGAGGGCCCACCCGGCCGCTGGCGCTCCTTACTTGCTTTAAGGTTTTGCCGCTTCTGTGCACGGCGCGTATGGCACCTGTGCAACACTCCGCCGAGAAGCTGGAGCGTCGCAGAGGCTTGAGGAAGCATCATTTGACACTACAACGCATGCGTGCACTGGGGCCGTTCTAACCGGAACCCACCACTGCCCTGTGTCTAAACAAGCAATATACCCTATTAAGGTCTATTTGAACTTTTCATACTTACAGGAAAAATTCTGGGTGTTGAAATACACAGGTCTTAAAATTGGACACCCCTTGTGTAGCTGAATGAGACTTTGAAAAGTGAAAAATAAGAGTAATTTCCTTCCCCTTGTCCGGTCTCAAAAGTATTTTACATTCATTCATCTCATTCAAACAGAGTGCACGGTAATGGACGATCTTGGATTCATTTAACCAGGACTAGTGATTTATAAGGGAAGCGGTGGCTTAGTGGCTAAGACATTGAGCTTATTGATCAGAAAGGTCGGCAGTTCGAATCCCTAGCGCCGCGTAACAGAGTGAGTTCCCATTACTTGTCCCAACTTCTGCCAACCTAGCAGTTCGAAAGCATGTAAAAATGCAAGTAGAAAAAATAGGGATCACCTATTGGTGGGAAGGTAACAGTGTTCTGTGCACCTTCGGTGTTTAGTCATGCCAGCCACACGATCACGGAGACATCTTCAGACAGCGCTGGCTCTTCAGCTTTGAAACGAAGATGAGCACTGCCCCCTCGAGGTGGGAAGGCCTAACACATATGTGTGAGGGGAACCTTTACCTTTACCTTTAGTGATTTATATGGAAGGTGTCATATTGACTTGTAGTTCAGGAAACTGACCCAGAATGACTTTCAAAACACAGATCACGCTCTCTGCCGCTGTGGATGGCTCCATCTCTGAAGACACCTATGTGCAGCCAGTTGGTATCCGA